ACCCACAAAGCGCTGGAATGACGTCTTCTGAAGTGCGGCCGACGCACTCGACATCTCGTCAGGCTTCGCAGTTCGGATACGAGATCAATGTCTCGTCTTCGCGGTCCAGCGGAATACGTCTCTAAGGCAAAGCATCGATGCGCTGGTCATATAATGACGAGGACAGAGACAGGTGAGTAAGAACTCTGGAATGGATTTTTGCGAAGCAAAACGTCCTCGAGGGAGGCCGACCTGATGGGCTGACGTGTTTTGCACGGATGAACCAGCCGAATTCTCAGCTGGAAAGGAGTGACGGATCTGGACCTCGCGAAAGTCGCCGCCGCAGTTCAATGTCAACATCGTGGATGACGCTAGCGAGAGACAAAAACGGATGAAAACAGTGCTGTGGCCTGCACGACGAATGAAAACAGGCCATCTAAGTGTCTACTAAGTTTCTAAGTACAGGAAGTAATGTTGGTTACAAATCTATCCCCAAACAGGATATATCCATGTGGCCCATCTCTAAGCTTGCGTATAATAGCTACAAAGCACGACTACTCTGCCCTTTAAAGCTCTACTTAGATATCGTGTGGGATGATATTTTATAACTTGTTGCGTTTAAGAGCTTCATTTATGCCGGCAGTTTAGAAATGCAATAAAACTGGGGTGGTCGTAATTCGCCGATGAAATTACGAGTTAACCACAAGTTAACTCCGATTGAGGTGAAATAGTGTTGTGGGGAGAGAGATGCAGTTCTAGCAGTGATCATTTCATGAAAAGTACCCTATGAGATGTTGAAATTAGCATTGCTGATCTGTCTCCATACCTTAAGCACTTCCCCCTTTTATCACTGAAAATCGCACTCAACTCACAGTTTCATTTTATTTTTCAACTTTCAGTAAATTGAAGAATAATTGCGACTTAGCTCCTAGTTTGCTCAGAATCAAATCACCTTTTGGGATTTCAAAATTTATGGCTTACTCTTTGTAAATATCGTTTTCTCCTTTACCGTAATTTTTTAGTTTTCTGCTTTTTGTATAATTGCGAGCATGTGACTCACAGATAATTACGAGGAAGAGGCTAATTCCAATTACTATAATTTCGGTGAATTCGAATATTTGAGTTTGCAGCGTTTACCCACCGTAATCGTACAGTATGTTCGTACCGTACGATTACTTTGTAATCAGCATAATTATAAAGCTAAGTAGTCTTGTCTTTCGAGTCCCTACTTACGCAGTAGTTAAGTTGTTGCTTAAGCTTTTTATTTATGGCCTAAAATACATATCTAATGACTGCGTGTAGCAAAAGCGGAACCATAGAAAAACCAAGCATAGCGTTTTTAGAGAAAGATTTTTACTTCCGAATAATATACAATGTTCTGTCGAAACGTCCTGTTTCTCATATAGCAACCCTTCTTCAGCACTGAGAATCTCAAGAATTGTTTCTTGATCTCAAGCTGCATCGTTCTCGAAATGACGAATTGCTTGGGCATAAACAGATTTGGAGCAGATTAGAGTTTTTTACGGCACGTTCCTAAACATTACTAGCAAGGTCTCGACTGCTTGTATTTTACCCTATGTTGTAAAATCCTTCCATTTATATAGTAAAAACTTATTTGATTACGCTATTAATGCTTGAAGAGCGCTGTTGTAAAAATATTGTGTTCTTGAAAGTCAAATCACATTTGAATCATAGGTTAGATATATAGAGCTACGGCTCTGGTCACCTTCTAATGAGCCAAGAAAGAGTAGGACCCTCACCTAAGAGTTTGAGCTAGGTGTAGATAAGTCGATGTCCGAGGCTCAGACATCGATTTATCTACACCTAGAAGTTTGAAGATCGAGAACTATATGACGAATAGAGGAAGGGAATTTTCACTTTATTGTTGACGAAGTAAGATTAAGATATCATAGCACAAAAGAACTGTGGGGACATTGATGAGATCCATAAAAAATTAAAAGGCATAGTTTGAAAAGCTCTGAAGGTAGAAGTTGGAGTTGAGTGTTGAATTCCTGTAACTATTTCTTTCAAAACAATTGATGTGTCTAAGAACTTCGAAAAGCATGCATCGTTGGAAGTAATCGTTATTATGATTGGAAATTGAACTCTAGAAGTATGAACATCAAAAAGCCTTGAGTAGTGAAAGTCAAGAGTATAGAGAATAACTCGTTATGGTGGAAATTATGAAAGCTGCGCCGTTGTCAGCTGGATTCTCCATACGATTCCGAGCAGAATGATATATGGATGTTGGGGGTTTCTTTGAGTAGGAGCCGAG